AAAGAAGAAAGCCCGTGCTAGATTTTTGCAAGTTCGGCGAGTTGCTAAGTTTATCTATCATCAGCGTGAGGTTGAGAGGAGAATGAGAGGCCAGTTAGAAGACAGACTGCAAAGGGTATGCATTTTCTATTAATTTTTACTGTATGATTCTCCCATCTTCAATTGTAATGTGTGTTTTTCCCATTTATATTTTATTGCATATATTATGTCTCTTATTAATTATTTATAAATAGGCAAAGAGACAGAGAGCAGAGTACTTGAGCCAGAGAGGAAAGCCACATAAATCTATTCAAGTGAACTATACCAGGAAGCAAGCTGATCTGCTTTCTAGAAAACTAGCAAGGTATAATACCAACATTTCCTAGTTGATCATTTAATTGTATTTGTTTCATGGACTGCACGTGCTTGGTATGGCTCATTATCTGTTGTTGTGATATTTAAAGTGTCTTTCAAAGAGTATCTTTTGCTAGGGTAGATAACATTTTGTTAAGAATGGTTACAAAATCATCTTTTTCAACAGATTTCAAGTAATGGTTAAAACTATTAATGTCCTAGTATCTAATTCCTTTGTACTGTTCAGGTGCTGGAGGCGGTTTGTTAGGCAGAGAAAAACTACTTTAGACCTGGCAAAAGCCTTTGATTCATTGAAAATTAATGAGAATTCTGTTAAGTCAATGCCTTTTGAACAACTTGCTCTTCTGATTCAATCAGTTAGTAACCTTCAAACTGTGAAAGGTTTGCTTGACCGAATTGAGAGCCGCATTAAGGCCTCTAGGGAAGCTGGTGCCACTGATCATCTATCCAGTTTGGATAACATTGACCATCTTCTTAAAAGAGTTGCTACTCCAAAGAGGAAGACCACTCCCAGGACCTCTAAAAGAGAGGCTAAGAGAGTTGTCTCTGGGAGGGAGGCTGTCAAAAGTCTTACATCATCATCAAGATATCCTGTTAGAGTATTTCTTTGTGCATACATGGTATTGGGCCATCCTGAGTCTGTTTTAAGTGGTCAGGGAGAGCAGGAGATTGCTTTGGCGAAGTCTGCAGAAGCCTTTGTTCGAGAGTTTGAGTTGTTGGTAAAGATTATTTTAGAGGGACCCATACTGAGTTCTGATGAAGAATCCGAGACTGCATTAAGTAAACGTTTGACATTTAGGTCACAGCTCGCGGCATTTGATAAAGCATGGTGCTCCTACCTGAGTTGTTTTGTGGTGTGGAAGGTCAAGGACGCTCAGTCATTGGAAGAGGACTTGGTAAGAGCAGCTTGTCAGCTCGAGCTCTCAATGATTCAAAAGTGCAAGTTGACTCCTGGAGGAAATAACACTGCTCTTACACATGATACGAAGGCTATTCAAAGACAGGTCTTATTATCTCACTGTTGGTCTTTTCTTGATATCAGTGAAATCGATGCAAATTGGCAAATACACTCTGATCAGTTTGACTTCACTTAATGGTTTATCGGACTTTTTAATTATAGATTAATTCCGTTTGGTCCAAAGTTTAAAATGTACTCTAAGCTGTGCCTTTGGTTTACATTATGCTGCAGAGGATCCTCATTCAATTTTTTGATAATGCAGGTTATGGAAGATCAAAAGCTCTTAAGGGAGAAAGTGCAACATTTGTGCGGAGATGCTGGAATTGAACGAATGGAATGTGCAATATCTGAAACACGCACTAAATTTTTTCAAGAAAAGGAAAGCCAGAGCCCAACAGAATCACCAAGTACGCCCTCTCTATCTCCAAGCATAGATGGCTCTCCTAGTTCTTCGACTGCTGGAACAGATGAAAGAAGTGATCTGACTCGGATGCCAAACCTTGTTGTCCGCTCTCTGTTTAAGGAATATGAAATTAGTACGTCTCAGTCCAAAATTTCCTGTTCCTCTGTGCCTAGCAGCTGCCATTCAGATGCTCTGTTAGGTTCTATTGAAAAGCAGTTGGTCAATGAGAATGAATTGATTGTTAATGAATTTCTTCATGAAAAACGTGGCTTTGTTGATAGCTTCAGTATCATCGATGAAAACCAGAACGGCATAAAGGTTTGTGCATGTCTTATTATTATTGTTATATATGATAGAAGAAGCTGACACTTGGAACCATATTTGGAATTTTTGGCACTTTTGCAAGCTGCATAATTGTTATGATGGATTTGATGTGATTTTATGAATATTCACGTATAGGAACTTGCCTTAGAATGGATCATTTTCTTGGCTACCAAGCTCAATTCTTATATTGGAAAATTTTCTTAATGTTTTGCAGGCAAAGATAAGAGAAACAATGGATAAGGCTTTCTGGGATGGGATCATGGAATCCATGAGACAGGATAACCCCAATTATGACCGAGTTATTGACCTTGTGAAGGAAGTCAGGGATGAAATTTGCGAGATGGCTCCTAAGAGTTGGAGAGAAGAAATAATAGATACTATTGATCTAAAAATTCTCTCCCAGGTACTAGCGCCTCTTTATTATTTCCATTTTAGAATTATCATCCATTAAATCCTAATTATTTAACTTTTCCCCCCTTTCAAAGGTGTTGAAGTCGGGAAACTTGGACATCGACTATCTTGGAAGGATTCTAGGGTTTGCATTGAGCACTTTGCAGAAGCTCTCCTCTCCAGCCAATGACGATGAAATGAAGGCTGCTAACCAGAGGTTATTGAAAGAGTTAGCTGATATTTGTGAAGCCAAAGATAAGCCGAATCATTCTCCCTCCTTTGCAATGATCAAAGGTCTACGGTTTGTCCTAGAAAAGATTCAGGTATTCTTTTATGTATCACTTGATAAGGAGCTAAGTTGGGGGAGAAGTTATCCTTTTTACTAATGTGTGATATTCATCATCTTGACAGGATCTTAAGCGGGAGATTAGCAAAGCTCGTATAATGATGATGGAGCCATTGTTAAAGGGACCTGCTGGTTTGGATTACCTTCGGAAAGCTTTTGCAAACTGTTACGGGTCTCCTCCTAATGCTCGGTCATCTTTACCATTGACAATGCAGTGGCTTTCATCTGTATGGCAATGCAAAGATCAAGAGTGGGGAGAACACCAAAATTCTCTGTCAACTTTGAAGGCCCAGGATAGTTCGTCTCGGGACTTTCTTACTCCCATTATGCTTAAAACTGGCGGGAGCTGCAATTCAGCAAATGCAAGCCAAATGACATTTGCCAACCCTTCTAAAGTTACAGGTTTGGATTTGGAACTGTTCAAATCATTTGACACTAAGTTTAGTGTGTAGAGAAACATCAACTATCCTGAACGCTAAAAGGCTAATATGCAATTGTTTTTAACGTACTGGTGATTCTTATGTTCTTTGGTCAGATAATCAACAACCGGAATGCAAGGGAGAGACAGTTGATATAGTGGTGAGGCTTGGTTTGCTGAAGTTAGTAAGTGGAGTTTCCGGTCTAACCCCAGATTCTCTGCCGGAAACCTTCATGCTTAACCTTGCTAGATTGAGGGGTGTTCAGGCTGAGATTCAGAAGATAATTGTAATATCCACAAGGTATTTGGATGATCAATTTCTTATTTGTAATTAGGGTTCGTTTAGTATTTGTTGTTGGAAAGTGTTTTTGAAATGCAGATATAAATCAGCCCTTCTTGGTTTGGTGTCAAAAGTGCTTTGACCTTGATTTGGTTCCCTGGCAAAAGCACTCTGTTTAGCATTATTTTTTTGTTAGAGCGGACAAAGAATCTGATCTAATATTCGATTTATTCACTTGCAGCATTCTTATTTGTCGGCAAATTTTCTTGAGCGAGCAAGTAGTATCCTCTACTGATATGGAAAGCATAATATCAAGTTGCACCAAGCGGCTCTTGGAGCTCTTAGACCACATCGAAGATGTTGGAATCGAAGGGATTGTTGAAGTAATCAGCGGGGTCTCGAAAGTAACAGATGATGAGAAGGTTCGAACGAGGAAAGTTATGATGGACAGGATGCTGGCAAAGAGCTTGCAAGCTGGGGATGCAGTATTTGGAAAGGTTTGGCGTGCTGTTTATTTAGCTTTTAGAGGGGTTGTATTCGGGGGAAGTGTCTATTGTAGAAAGTTGGCGGAAATTGCTCTCCGGCAGGTCGGGGCTGGGACAGGTGCAGGTTTGCTAACTGAGAGGGTGGTGAGAGCAGCGGAGGTGCTGGTGGTTGTAGCCACGGTTTCTGTCAGCGTCCACGGACCATGGTATACAACCTTGATGGGTAACATGTGATTTGTGAAAAGAATAAGATGAGAATAAATAATGCATTACTGTAAATACAAGTGTGTACAAACTAAAATCCCTGCTTTAAACCGTAGTGAGTAGACCCTTGTAGGTGTAGCATATCATGTTCCCATGTTTTAATAGAATGTGTTAAAAAATATATGCTTCGTACATTTTATTTTAGAATTTTTTTATTATATATAAATATGTTTCTAATGATATTATTTTTTTTTCTAATCATTTCCTGCGAACAATGTGGAGAAAAGTGTTGTTTGTTTACTTCAGAATGATTAAGAGCTGAATGATTTAATGGCCTGAATGATTCAGAGACTGTAAATATTAACTCTGGATGTGACATGCTATTTGATAATGACTCTGAATCATTCAGAATGTATTTTAATGCTGAATCATTCAACACTGTTTTGCTGAATCATTCAACACAGTCTTCATTCAGAGGTCAAAAACAAACTCGTTGAATGTTGAACGGTTCAGCATTCAGCGTTGAATGGTTTTATTCAGAGTCAAACAAACAACCCCTTAATTGAGTCGGACTACAGTTTAATATTTAATAAAATAAAATACTATATTAGACCATTTAATTGTACGGATTCATTTGTATTTTGAAAATTTTAAAATTTAGATTTTATATATTTTTATAATCAAATTAGTTATATCAGATTTAGGGTTTAGATTTTTCAAAAAAAAAACAGGCTTATATAATCTAAGCTAAATACCGGCCCCCGAAGGGATAACCCCGTCCAAGCGGAACGAACAATGCCTCTCAAAGCCACTTTTTCCGAAATTTTAGACGAAATGTAGTGTATAAAATTTACATTTCCTTTAGGAAAATTAAAACATTCAGCTACAAATGTGTTAAAATTTACCAGTTTTGTCATGTTATTGACCAAGAAGGTAACGCCCTCACTACACCATTCAAGTTGACCCCTACCTCTGGGCAGTTTCCTTTTGATTCAACATTGTATACATAATCAAGATCATCAAAATCATAGATCCTCATTATCAGTATTGTTATAATAATCTGGGTCTTTTGAAGGATAAGGATCACCATCTTTGTCCCGCCTTTCAACTGTTCTTTTCTTGGATCGTCCGGTGCTTCTGGTGAAGTCATCATCATCGTTGTTGTAATCACTGGCATTTGCATTTGGAGCAGCAGTTGCATCTCTTCTTCTCTTTGCCGAGTCATTACTGTCATTGCTGCTGCCACTGCCGATTTTGTCTGTTTTGTAGTATTCCTTTATGGTAGCTTCAATGGTTTCCAGTAATCTATCTCCATACTTGCTTACCTTATCCCTAAATTTAAATTAAAACATTTTTGTTGATAAATATATATTAGTATATTAGGGTAAAAAGAAAAAGCTATTTCAACTATATAACTGAATATCAAAACTTACTTCCCAATGCCATTGATTTCGAGGAGTTCTTCCTTTGTTCTTGGAACTCTTTTGCTTATGTGCTGCAGGGTAGCGTTTCTAGGCAAAGGAAAAATAATAATAAATCAGCTGAATTTCTAATGACATTTTCACCGAGACAAAAATGGCATGGAACAGAAAGAAAAGTGATGAATGACGGAACAGTATGACCCCTTCACTGGCTTCTTTAACAAGAGCAGTTCGAAGCATCCACAAAGCAGAATACAGTTTTGCAGACAGGTTCTGATGAAAATATAAAATAAGTCTTTCGGGAACCAAAAATAATGTCTGGTAAATAACACAGAAAGGCATTGAAGAAATGGTACCAAGTCGACTATGGAGTGGGATTGGGCTGAAGTGTCACCAATTGGTGAACTAATCTTCCCTGAAGCTGTCAATGAGTCTTTTGCTGGAGTGGCTTCTGGTTTGCTTGCTTTAGTTGCTTTTACAGAGCTAGGGAATCTACATCGTGTTACCATATGTCAGGTTGATTAAAGCATTGTACTGTTCCTAAAATAAACTTGAGCAACAACCGTAAACAAGCCTGATTAAATATTAGAGATGCAGAAAGTTGAAATTGCTTTGTGCATTCTCAGGGATCTAAACTTCCTAGTTACTAGAAATCTAGTAAACATAATGATTTCTTACATTGTTAACACTATTATTAACTGCAAATTCACATTAGTCATATATATCCTTAAATTAGCATACATACTTCATTGTAGTAACTGCTACGAGTTATGATAAAAATAAGAACAGCAAAAGAAAACACTGAACCTTTTCATTATTACCTGCCCACCAAGGAAAAGAGTTTTAGCCTTCGATTCATTCACCTAGAAACAAATCAAGCAGCAATTATGTATGATATTCAGGAAAGAACAGAGAAACATTTTGCTCCATTTTTGAAATAACAGGTTTGGTAAAGTGACCGTTGAGAGAGGCAGGAACCTAGGGATACCTTCAGCACTGATGACACGGATCCATAAATATCGCTCTTCTTAACGTCTTCCAAAAGGAATTCTTTAACAACAAGATGATGTATTATGCGGGAAGCTTCACCCTTGGCTAAATGTTTTCCCGCACCATCCAGGCTCAATGTCTCGTGTCTATGTTTTTTGACCTAGTTTTGGCATTACCCCAAAAAGATTGCAATCAGAGAAGATAATATAATAAGCAACAGCCAAACTTCGTGTTTAGGACTCACAAACTGGCTTAAGGAACCTTTGTAGACTGTTCCATTGATCATGCCATCAGTTTCATTGATGTTAGGATGCACATGCATAATTTCAGACTGTTTCATGCCTGATGACTCTGTTAGGGTAGATCTTCTTCTCCGATCATGTGAAATCTCGTCAACTGAAGTCTTAACTGGACCAGTTGTTCCTGGTCTTAAGTTGGTCCTGAAAGATTTTGGAAGGCTGGAAAGAATCTGATAAGCCTGGGGAATATTTCCACAAAGAGACCCAAGAGATCAAAATTCAAAATAAATGAACATCCAAGCAGTGGATATCTAAGAATACAAAATCTAACACTAGTTAATCCTTCCGATCAAATTTACCTTTTCAACCTGAGTATGCTGGAATTTTTGGGAATCTTGAATCTGGCAGGACGTCAGCCTTAGAGAAATGAGAAAAGTATGTTAGAAGAATCAATAAAAATGATCAATGGAATAAACTAAGATAGTGTACTTGGATGCTTTAAATTATGTATTTCAATGTAATAAAATAAATCATATAATAAAATTACTTTGTGATTAATAGAAACAACATTATATTGTTTTCCCCTTATGTAAAACTGCAATTACCAGAAAGCCTATTGTTCCTCCAATAACCAAATGTCAGGTTTTGCAATTCTTCTTCTTCGAGTATCTCTACAGAGTGGACTTTCACATTACTAAGTAGGAAACACGGCCAATTTTGCTTTATATGATGCTTAATTGTACTAATCCTAAACCAAGAAGTATTTGATATTATTTTATTTATTAAAATAAAATGTAGGATTGACAAAATACATTTTTCATAGGTTTTTATAAAATTAGTTTTTAAATCCATGTTTCACTGCCCGTTTTTAGTTTAAAATTTAAACTGGAATTTAGCTCGAATTATTAAATTTTAAATACAAATATTGATAAAAAAAGGTTTGATAAAACTGAAGTTCAGATTTTTTTTTATCTTATAAAAACAATAAAAAAATAAAAGATAAGTTAGTCGCCAAAACTTAAGAGTGAAAACCTAATTATTCAAGAGGCCATAAAAGTAGTTTGGAAGAGAACGTTACTAGATAAATAAATAGAAGCAGCGCAAGAAATATGAGAAAATTAGAGAATTTGTGATTCTGCTTTTGCCATCACTCGTCTGTAATGATTCGTATTGAGGTGAAGCCAGTATTCGATCATTGATTTCCGACGAAGGTGGCCGATTGTGGTCTAAATAGTGGTGGGTGTGATGGTCACAATATGAGTTCATTGAGGTCGATGAGAGAAATAGAGAAAAAAAGGGAAGAGAAAGAAAAATAGAAAATGAAGAGAAAAAAATAATCTTTATTTAGATCAAAACAACGTTGTTTCGGTATAAATATAATTTTTTTTAGAATATCTAAAACTTTTTTTATTTTGGTGTTGATTGTTACATCATAATACCATTAGAAAATTAATGGCTGGGTGATTAAAAAAATAATGTGTAAAATTTATTGATTAAATTAAAAAAAATAAAAATATAATAATGAAATAGGAGAGAATAAAATTTAATCAGTAATATATAATTTACCCTTAAAACCCCTACATATTGGCCGGCCCATTATCTGGAAAAGAAAGCGTGAAAATATTTGTTTTTTCAATCAACTAATCACTTTTCGTTCTTATACATGGCCTCTGCTGCATTTTTCTCCACTTGCTCGTCGGCCAACGAGGTAAATTAACCATTTCATCCTTCCTTTTCAACCCATAGAATCTAATGCTTGCATCCGTCAAAGATAAAGCATCTGCAGAATTTGATACTAATAATCGGATTCTTTTTTTTCTATCTCAGAATTATCTGCATTTGACTCCTACTCATGCTTATGCAAAAGGGTTTGTTAACAACTTAAGAACTTCGAATTTACCATCCATTGCTCTGAGAAACGAGCGTTTTGTTCGGCTGCGAGGTTTTGTAGCAATGAGAGACGAGGGTGCTTCAAAAGTGAGTGATGATGGTCCGAGGATGAAAATCCCACATGTTTTGACTGTTGCGGGGTCTGATTCAGGAGCCGGGGCTGGAATTCAAGCTGATCTAAAGGCTTGTGCTGCTCGTCGAGTTTACTGTTCTACTGTTATCACTGCTGTCACTGCCCAGAATACTGTTGGAGTTCAGGTTTTCTCTTCTCTGCAACTTTTATTTTCAATGCTTCCAGGCAAATCGGGTCTTTGAATTTTGGGTTTTTCTTCGTTTGGTGAATTATGAACCATCGAACTTCATTAACATAAAGATTAATATTTTTGTATTGATAAAGATTCATGCTTTTAGTAGAATTTGTATGGAGAATATATGATTAGTTATGCCCATTATTGTTGAATTTTATGTTCAAGGTCAATCATCTTTTTCGTTTATTTACTGCTTAATTGAATTTTTTGTTGATTGTCAGGGTGTAAGTAATGTACCAGAGGATTTCGTTGCAGAGCAGCTAAAGTCTGTGCTCTCTGATATGGAAGTTGATGTGGTGATAATTACTGTTATGAGCTTTAAATACTTGATCATAAGCAACTCTTAGCCGTAGTTTGGCCTATAACTATTTACACTGTTTGGTTTTTCTGAATAATAACTTCAAAAAGATTTCACCTTTATTTGATCATCAATATGTTATTAGGTGAAAACCGGCATGCTACCTTCTATGGGCACAATCAAGATTATTTGTAAGACCCTCAGGGAGTTTCCTGTTCAAGGTATGCTCCATAAATAACAATTGGAAGTGTGATTCTCAATTTGCAATTTTAGTTGACTTCTCTGGTAACCCGAAGGCAGCTTTGGTGGTTGATCCTGTCATGGTGTCTACAAGTGGGGATGTGCTTGCTGGTCCTTCTATTCTTTCCACATTTAGGTAGGTTATATATGGATTTTCTCTTGATGTTGATTATATATATATGGTGCAGTCTTAAGCTTGTTCACTTTTGTCATTGTTGTCTAAATTCGTTCTCCAGCTGCCGCTGAACTCATTTCATTTGAAATTGCCAATATGAACAGTTTTTTGTTCTCAACATTTGTTCTTCACTGTTTCATGCTTTCAGAGAGGTGCTCCTTCCAATGGCTGATATAATAACCCCAAATCTGAAGGAGGCAGCTGCTTTACTTAATGGTATGCAATTGGAAACATTGGATGACATGCACTCTGCTGCAAGATTGTTACATAACATGGGCCCAAAGTGAGTTAAAAAGATTTATTTCAACTTTTTTCTCTTTTGATTTGTAATTACAAATTATATGTATGTTTGTTGCATGACAAGTGTTATAGAATAGCTAAGGTTGCAGTACTTTCAGCTTTTTAATGTAGAAAGGCAGCACTCTTAACTGAGCCATAATCTATGAACATCATGGCATAGAACTTATGGTTTTCTAAGAAATGTAATTTTCGATGTCCTATTTCTTATTAATTAAATGAAAATCTTGCACTCAACCTATAACTTCATGTTTACTGCTTTACTGACAGCTAGTTAGATACTATGTTCTGATAATTTTGTGTTTCAGGAATGTACTTGTCAAGGGCGGTGACCTACCCGACTCATCAGATGCTGTTGATATTCTATATGATGGTAGGCTTAAATTTTATAGTTCTCAAGCTAATGGTTTCCTCCCGTTGATATGGTTTACACCAAAGGGGCTCTTTTATGAAGGGTTTTGATGGCTGACCAACCTTTTAAATCTGACGTTCACAGGTCTTAATTTCTATGAGTTGCGTTCACCGCGTATAAGAACTCGTAACACTCATGGTACTGGTTGCAGTCTGGCATCATGTATAGCAGCAGAGCTAGCAAAAGGCTATCCAGTGCTCGCAGCTGTGTTAAGGTAATTACTCACTCTACTGTGTCTCCTTTGTCTTGTGGGGATATGGTCCCCATTCTTATTAACTTGTGTTTTTGCAGGTAGCAAAACGCTACGTTGAAACTGCCTTGGATTACAGCAAAGAGATTGGTATCGGAAATGGACCTCAAGGCCCCTTTGATCATCTATTGAGGCTTACGAGTCATTCTCAAGATTGTCATAGGCAGAAGCCATTTAGTCCAAGTGACTTGTTTCTGTATGCTGTTACAGACTCAAGAATGAACAAAAGATGGGGTCGATCTATTGCCGATGCTGTTAAAGCTGCCATAGATGGAGGTGTCACCATTGTCCAATTAAGGTCGGTTTATGTTGTATTCTTTTTTCAGTTATCATCACGACTCACGTGCTATGCTATGAATTATCTCTTAGCATGACCTGAATATAGGAACTGGTTCTACAAAACTGTTTGTGGATTTGTTTGTTTATGATAAAAATAGTTTCACTTGCTTTTGCAGAGAGAAGGATGCTGAGACAAAGGACTTTCTGGAATCTGCAAAAGCGTGTCTTAAAATTTGCCGTTCACATGGAGTTCCTCTTCTGATTAATGACCGTGTTGATGTTGCCATTGCTTGTGATGCCGATGGGGTGCATGTTGGCCAGTGCGACATGCCTGCTCGCGTCGTTCGCACTCTTCTCGGTCCAGAGAAGATCATCGGCGTCTCTTGCAAGACACCGGAGCAAGCACAACAAGCATGGGTAGATGGTGCTGATTACATCGGGTGTGGCGGTGTATATCCAACCAAAACCAAGGAAAACAATACCGCAATTGGTTTGGATGGTCTGAAAACAGTTTGTGTGGCTTCGAAGTTACCTGTGGTGGCCATTGGCGGAATTGGTGTGTCGAATGCACGTGCAGTGATGGAAATTGGTGTACCAAATGTGGAAGGTGTCGCTGTTGTTTCAGCTCTTTTTCGATAGGGAAAGCGTGCTGACCGAAACAAGGAAGTTGCATTCAGTGTTATTGGGATCTAACATTGGTGGTACGTGATAAGTTCTATGATTTGATTCTGATAGGATAACTTTCCCAATACGAGTTAATATTAAACAGGTGTTTTTATGTTATGATGATATTGGACAAGTATCTGTATTTGATTCCGCTGAAATCAACATGTTTTGTTCGTCATTAATTCGTTAGTCTCAATGTATATTCAACTATTCATATGAGAATATATTAATTCAAATATATAAAAAAGGAAAGTTAAAAAAAGACTATCTGACACTTGCAAGTTGCAACAAAGTCCAAATAACATAGCTATGAGAAGAAAACAGGAACAAGTATAATATATAAATGCTGGTTTTTAACATTTCAATGAGTCAATCCTTTCTGGCATAAGATTTTATGGAAAGAAATCAACTTACAAGACTCGCATATCTTCCATTATACTCTAAAAGTATAGACCGTTTATAACCCACAATTGTAAAGCTGATCCAATTTGGGTAGGCTTCAAAATCCAGTAGCTCCAACTTCCAACATCAGTAGCACACCCTAAACAATCATACGCTAAGACTCCACAAAGTTCTTGCCCAAGACACTAATTTACAAATTGTTTATTCAACACCAGGTCTTAGGTAGAAACCAACATCATATAAACACGCGACTAAACGCGTAACATGGATTGAAAAGCATATACTTATAACGTTCAAGAGACATGAACTTCTCCACTAGCATGTACTTCCTTGACTGTCTTCTCGTACTCGTCTTCGTCTTCTTCTTCCTCTTCCTCTTGCTCTGCATCTTCTTCCCTTGCATCCTCATCTTCTTCTCCACCCCAGCCAAAGCCTCCAATAGACCGTGATACTCGAGGAGCTACTTTAGCCTCTTCAACTATTTTCATGATTTCCTCGACACTTTGAAGGGAGAAAGTTGGGTTGTCTTTCCTGTAATAGATAGCTTGAGCTGCTTCTGTCAGCTCCCTGGGCAAGTTCTTCAAAAACCATGGATGGCTCTTGATATCTTTGATACTGATTCTCTGTAAAAACACATGCTAAAACAGTGAGAGACCCAGAGGGAGAAAGCAAGAAAGAAAAAGCAAGCTTGTCAAGGATGGTGGACGGATGGCAGGTGATTATAAACAACCACTTCAAGAATGGCAATTTATAAATGAGGATGACTTGTTTTCCATGCCCCACAACTTCATTTAAAGGAAAAGAACCTCTGGCTATCGTTCTTTGTTATTTAGCTATGGACAAGCAACATTTCAGTTAGAATATGACCAGCTCTGCCTCTGAAAGTTATCATTCCATGCACTAGTAGAAGACAGTAAATATTTGGCATGTGCTTTAGCACGTGATAGAAATGGTGGAGAAAACACACACACATAAGCATGTATATAAAGACTCCCATCATGCCAATAACCACCAGTGTATAAAGAACCTATAGGAGAACAAACATTTGCCCATACGTTGAACAAGTTCGGTAACAACAGTTCATACCCTGGAGGGGCTAGCAACAAATATGTGAGAAAGGAGATGCTTGCAATCTTGAGATATGTGTACATAGTCTGGGATTTTGTATTGAACTGACATTATTCTCTGCAACAAAATAAAGAACATTAGAAATCATAAAGAAATTGGAGGATCGAGGATAGTTAAAAATGGATGTTAAGAAGTATGTAGCTCACACTAATAGTTTTCCTAAAATTCTTTGGATCCTCTTGATCCTCAAATGGGTAAGCACCAACCAACATAACATAAAGAGTCACTCCACATGACCATACATCTGCCATCTGAAAAAGGAATGCAATCCTAAAATTAATCAGAAACAGAAAATGAAAAGATTCAATAAAACCCAGGCCTCAGTTTCTCTTTGCCAAATATCTCATATGATATTGCTTTCATGATCGTTAAAATGAAAAACTTCATCATAAAGTGCACTACTAGTAGATATCCAACCAATTGATAAATATTCTGAGCAATTGATCTTTAACCAAGTTTATAATCACCCTCAACAATTCTTAAATTATTATCAAGTAACATCAGTCTATCTTTAGAACAGTAAGTTAAGGCATCAACTACCCCATCACAAAACTAATTAGTGTTGAACACAATCATAACTGAAAAACCAAGTCTCGTAAACAAACCATTATCATCAATATTTGAACAAAAGTAGATAAAGACTAAATTACCTTGCCATCATATTCTCTCCGAGAAAGAACTTCTGGTGCAATATAAGCTGGAGTACCAACCGTTGACTTGGGTCTTGAATGCAGCAGAGATGACTAAAAGGGGTGGAAGGAAACATCTTAAACAACAACAATTTTGACATGCATTTGATTACCTTACTGTAATTATCCTATTTTCAGTATTACCTTTGAGTAACCAAAATCACAGATTTTCAGACGAGGAGCAGGGCTCCCATCCAACAAGGTATTCTCTAACTTCAAATCTCGGTGGCATATTTGCTGAAAGACAAAAAGGGTAAAATATGAGAAGCTTGCCCAAAAGTAGGGACAACTGTAACATCTTGTAATAGATAGAATGTTAAAATTTGAGTTACCATGGAATGACAATAGCTAACTCCTGAGATCAGCTGTTGGAAAAAATATCTGGCCTGGAAACATCACATTGGAGATTGGACAGATCACCGTCAATGGAAAGCTCAAAAACACGAAGCATCCCACATCTTATTTAGACAGTAATGCAGGATTATTCAATGATAAGATGAGACATTTCATCTCATACTAGTTTCTATATCAATTGAGAAGGGAAAAAAAAGGAACATAACAAATGCAGCCCGCAACGAGTAAAAGAGAATTCAAACTAAAGTAAACATCGTCAATCTCCCCCGTTTCTTTTATTTTCTTTCCTTCTTGCAGAAGAGCATCTATTTAATAGCCAACAATTTTGAGATCGATGCTAACCTCATCTTCACTAAACCTGCCAGCGTTGCAAATTCGCTCAAAGAGTTCACCACCAGCTGCATACTCCATCACAATTGCAAGATGTGTAGGAGTCAAAACAACCTGCAAATGAAAAGGGAGAAAAAATAACGTTAAATTCAGAACACTAATGTAAAGGCAAAAAAATGGAAGAGCATAACATTGGAGTACCTCTTTGAACCGAATTATGTTAGGATGACGGAGCGATCTATGGTTTATTATCTCTCTTGCCACATTCTCATCAATCTATCACAAAAGATAAAATGTACGAAATTCCCAATTGTCTTCAAATACAACAATAATTAAAAAAAATAAGAAAACGTTAAATTCAGCTGCAAATTTCAATCTCAATGAAACTATCGACAATGATTTCGTTAAAGAGTAAATACTAATTTTCCCAATGAAAAAAAATCTAAGTACACGCCATAAATGCATGCATAATTCACAGATACATATATGCAAAATGCATCATATAAAAAATAAAAAGAAATAAAAGAAATTAAATTAAATTAAGGCGAAGGGAACCTTATGCCCACGGTCGATATACTTCATGGCGACGAGTTCTTTGGTTTCCTTGTTACGCATCAGCCTGGCTACACCAAAGTTCCCAGATCCTATGTCTTTTACCAGCTCGTACTTCTCCATCTTTTTTCTCTTTTATATATACGTAATAAATAAACCAGAATAATCAAAACCCTAACTCAATTATTCACGGATCGAAGCAGGTATCAATTTATACGCAACACATTACAAATCGAAACTGGAAGCGGTGGCGGGTGGCGGAGGTGAAGGTGGTTGAAGTGTAGGTGGAGGAGGGAGATTTGGAGAGATTTGAAGGAAAAGTAAAGAATATGGAATTTTTAAAGTCTGGAAAGACAGCAACAAAATCAGTGCTTTATAAAGGGAGGTATGTCTATATATTATTTATTTATTTATTTAGGAAAGAGAGTGTGGGGATAATGAATCAGAAGAATGATATCCTACCGCTGCTCCCTTTCCTTTGAAGGTGGTTTGATTCTATGCGGAGGACCCTCGCGGATCTTACCATCAGATCTCCCCGTGATTCAGCTAGAAGAATGAGATCCTACTGCTGCTCCCTTTCCTTTGAAGGTGGTTTGATTCTATGCGGAGGACGCTCACAGATCTTACCATGAGATCTCCCCGTGATTCGGCTATGATTGTTTTTTCCTTATAAACTATATTTAGATACCATTAAATTTTATCCTTTTATACATTTATATTATTAAATTTTATCCTTTTATACATTTATATTATTAAATTTTTAGTTTTATCGATTACAATATTAAATTTTAATTTTTATATTTAATTATATCATTTCGTCACTAAATCTTTAATCAGATGAAGATATAAATACTGTTTTTGACGGTGACGACGTGAACCGTGTAATAATCCACATAGCACATATATCTTTTTATTTCATATAAAATTCTCTACTTACAATCCTAAACCCCTAATTTATTTTATTCATCAACGATATAAAGAAGAAAGAGAGGGACGAGACATAGCAGACCATAATAATTAAATAGAATAACTCATCGCATTTTCAGTACGTGGTTATAATTTTTCAATCTGTGAAAACCTAATCAGAGTGATTTTATAAAGATATATAGTTGTCCGAAGTTTGTGGGCATGATAATTGTTGATGTTATTATAATACCTTTCATTGCTCGTCTGTTGTTAGCTTTCTTTCTAGTGTTATTTTTTCACTAAATTGAAATAAAAGAAATTTTTTTATAGCAGTAAAGTGTTTTGTGAGTAATCAATACAAATAAAATATATTTTTTAAAAGAGATAATAAATAATTTTAATTCAATTAAGAACAAATAACCTTTCAGACAAACTATGCCTAAATATATAAAATAAATGTATATGATAAATAAGGATATTATCCAGAAATATTATCTCACAGTTCCACTCACACATGCATTAAAATTCATATGTTTGATGGAAACATAAAAGGTCAAATAAGAAATAACGTGTGCCTAATAAATTAGTAGATACAAAAGAAAGCAAGCAAATTAATAAATTAATGTTAATCAACAATGAGGTAATAAACGGACACGTTTTATTACAGAGGATAAAAGATATTATTTTCATCTCATAATTTATTATTTTCATTTATCAAACACATAATTTTAAGACATACATTTAATCATTTTTTAAGTTATATAAAACTAAAGAGATACCAAAATCATTCTTAAAAAGTGATTGATAAATTTATTAAGATAAATATAAAAGAAAAAGACAAATAAAGATAAAAATATAATTATCATTATTTATTAATTTTTTAATATTATATTTTGAGTAAAAAGAATAAATACTAATAACAAGAGATGTCTTGTTAGATATATTTCCATTATACATAATCAAAAAGAATATATTTATATGAAAAGTGTATTATTCCTATAAATTTGTCCAAAGAAAACGTCTTCCTTGGGTGACCATAAGAAATCTTGATTGATTATTCAATTCTTGTAGTCCAAATCTAACCACTAATCGCACGGTCTAAACTCAAAACCCACCAACCCAAACCTCATCGATGACGCATCCCAAGCCCCGTCACTGTTTCTCTTTCAAACCCTACCTTTCAGCCTTATATACAAGTAGAACCACACCAGTACGTTATCAAGTGGAGAAGATAGATTTCATGTGATTAGACAGCAACGGAAGCTGTTGTAGCCGCAAAACCAGTTATCAATGTGGCTGCCCTATGTGGTTCTTTAAGGAAAGGTTCTTATAACAGAGGATTAATTCGAACCGGTAAATGTTTTCAAACGATCTTTAATTTGTTTTTACTTTTTTCCGCTTGGGTTTCTGATTTGGTTCTCTGGGAGTGTTGATTTGTTTATGTTTTTTTTTCCAGCTCTGGAGATTAGTAAGGAGTCCACTAATGGGATTCAAATGGAATACATAGACATTTCACCACTTCCAATGCTCGACGCAGATCTGGAAGTTGATGGGAAGTACCCCCCTGCTGTTGATGCTTTCAGGCAGAAGATTTTAGAGTCTGATAGCATCCTTTTCGCCTCCCCCGAATACAACTATTCAGTTACTGGTACGTTCATTTCATTAAAAAACTTATGTGTTAATGGTTTGGAAAACATTTAATGGGCCCAAATGGGATACTATGGCTGTTAACGGTTAACTTCTTTTGGTTTGAGCAGTTAAAGAATTATCGGTCGGTGTCAAAATAGATTAAAGGTTGGTTATAATAGCTAATGTGGTATGTCAGACGTGGCTTTCAAAGGATGTTAGACATTTGAGATACTTCTTTAGATGTTCTTTCTGTGTCTTGTCTTCTATCTCTTCAGATGCCGTAGATATTTTTGAGTCTTTCAAAAATTATAAGATCCAAGAGGTCAACAAAAGGCCTATATATAACAAAATGTGTAAATTTTTAACGAATCAGATGAACAACTGTTTGTATTTATAGATTAATCACTCTCTATCAAAGCAATCCATTTCACATTATAATGTTATATGCCCCATTGTAGCACCTCTGAAGAATGCAATTGATTGGGGCTTAAGATCACCAAATGTACGGGGAGATAAAGCGGCCGCCATCATAAGCGCTGGAGGAGGCTTCTGGGTCGCATTACCATCTTCGCCAAATTGGGATTTATATTGATCTTCATTTCATCAATAAACCTGAGTTTTACTTGAATGCGTTTCAGCCTCCTGCAAAGTTTGATAGCGATGGCAATCTTATCGATCCGGCGTCAAAGGAGAGAATAAAGGGAGTTCTTCTAGCCTTGCAAGCATTTACCATGCGACTCCAAGGTAAAAACTAAGTAAACAAGTTACACGGTCGTAGCATTGTTACTTTGATAGATTTGGAATTTTACTGTAATTTTAGATTTTATTTTGTAATGCTGTAATATTTTGTTATGGGAGTAGTTAGTTTTATCGAAATAATACAGAATAAATATAATAAGTGGTTAGTTTTATCAAAAGAATAAAGAATAAATATAATAAAATCATGGGCTAAACATTCAAATTAAATAATTTGGATAATATAAGACAAATACTGTCGGTACTATGGAGTACTTTTTCTTGGGTAAATTAAGTAAATAATCTCTCGATTATATAATACTTTATAAAATGTTATAAATTGGTAGCTTGAGTTATAAAAGATGTAAATCATCATTGACGCTTAATTTTTAAATTAATTCTTAGATGAAAAAGTTATGGATAATTTATAAAATTAACATAATAAAATTTAGTCTTTAATATTTACATAATAATGGATGTACATTAATTTTTTTGATCTAATAGTATTTTTAGGTCTTTATTAATTTAAATTTAATTAAAATTAGAATTTTGTTCCTTTAATTTTTTAGATTAACTTCTAATAAGTCCATATTATTTTGAATTTAAGTAGTTTGTCCTTTCCAATATTTAATTTTAATTCCATTCATCTACAACTTATTTTAATTTAATCTTAATTTTTAAAAAATAACCTCCTTATGTCATTTAAATGTACCAATTTAACTCGTTTTCAATCATTGTTCTCTCCATCATCTTCCACGGTTGTCCTACGTATGGTTGTAAAAGAGTCAAGTCGAGTTTAAGTATTGTTGAACTCGACTCGATTCGAAAATTTTAAAATATAGCTCAACTCAACTCGAAAGCTTGTGAACTTAAAATTTTCAAGCTCGACTCGAACTCAAAACCATGAATTGAGGCTTGAAAAAGCTTAAAATTAAAAAACAAAATTAAACTTAACTTGATTAAGCTCGAACTCGAACTCAAAACCTAAACCTTAAATACATAAAAATCTTATACTATTTTTATTTTTAAATTCAACACATAAATGTTAATATTATTAATAATTTATTTTTTAGAATAAAATTTTAATATATTATATTTTCAAGTTGCTTGCGAGCTTTTTGAGTAAAATATCAAATAGTTTGTTTCGGCTCATTAAGAACTAAAGTTGAGTATGAGTTCGAATCGAGTCCATTCGAATCAAGTATTTATTAAACTCTGACCGAGTCGAGCTTAAATAACTCATGATATATCTCATCTCATCTACCACTTAATCCTACAAACTGTTTATCGAGTATTGATACAAAACCTTACACATATATATTTCGGAGAACTTGGCTCCATAAACTCGATATTACGAACAAGTGTGAGAAAACCTTCACTTAATTTAGTGTTGATGATATCTTGCAAAACGTCTCTGTAATCCCCATCTGCAAATCATCTCATTACCAACCTCAAAAGCAATCTCCTGCGAAAATACATACATGTATATAAAAGAATAATAAAGAAGATGAACTGCACATCAAACGCATGCAAATTTCACACTCATGCATAAATATACAAAATAATAAATCTAGAGAAAATGTAAAAACCATTAACAATGAATTTTGGGCCATGAGGAAAATGAAAAAGTTAATTATTGATAATTAGAAAAATCAAGCCAATTCTAATACCTACATGTCGAGCAAGAACGTATCAAAATTGCTGCTCACATTCTGCAACATCATTACAAGATGTAAACACTTGTCTCGCATGCTGCAAGAATATGATTTGTTATGAATAACAAAATATTCAAATGAATTTGCACGTCAGATTCTGGATTCGAACACCACGTATGTAGGGGTATAAGCGTTTAATGTCAAATGGTTGAGAGTCTTTGAATAGATACTACCTTATATTAGTAGTGGATCAAGAAATTTAAGAATGAAGTTCAAAATTTTAATATTATTTTCTTAAAAATAATGGGTATAAAAAATTTTTGTCAACCGGGCATCAATCCAGCTCACAAATGGGGTGGTCTTGGTGAGGTCCTCGGTGGAAATGAACTGATTGATAGCCAAATTGATATAAAATTCCAAAGTACGCATGTTTTTCACTGTTAGACTCTAAAGTTGATAACTGTAATTCCTTTAATATTTTTTTTCCATGTCTTTGACTTTTATATTTTCTTCTGCTCCTCCTGTTCTGTTCT